ATTAGAGCTTTATTTATAATTGTGCCTTCAAAATTTGCTTCTGAAAATTTGAAATGACCCAATTATGCAAACGCTATGAAACGATTAATTGAATAAATAAATAAATATATGAGGAATTTAAATCGAAAAAATGGTCGAAAACACTGATTACCACTGGGCGAATCGGTAGCAATCCTCTCTCTGTACTGTCGATAGTAGTAAACAGTCGCGGTACAACGGTGATAAAAGGTGGGAAGGTGACCTCGAAGGCGTCTGGCGGTAAATCTTCGATATCATGACGGTCCAGCGAAATGAGTGGTCTGAAATTTGTGGGATCTGTGGAAAGGCTGATGTGTGCTCTCAAAATATAATTTTCAACTGACATGTGTGGTGTTGTTGGGCTTCTCGTCCATTCTGCTTCACCCTTAACACTTCCGGAACTGTGCTCGCCAGGTTTCATTTCCGATTGGATATGGGATGAAGGTGGTGACTCGATAAGTACCGGGTGAATTATCTGAGGTCCGGGAATTTCGACAAGTTCATCGGTCGACTCATCCACCTCCGAAACCAAAGATCGGTGCCTTTGCTCCGATATCGCTGTCTCCCTCACTGCAAATTTTCCTTCTAGACAATTAGCAATGATTATTAACATAATTCTCTAATTGTTCGGAATTGTTTATAACAAATCTAATTAATCACAAAGTCAAAATTAACTCTATTAGTAATTTGGCACCATTGTGATTTTGAAATCTGAAATCAATTACATTTTGGTGACATGACAGTTATCGAATCACTCGTGACCTCGTACTGTTCACAATATGGAGGTTGAAGATTTGGTCGAAGGCACATCTGTACGTCGTTGGAATCAATTCGATACAGCTACTGGCCTCGTTTTCCAATACTATTATTATTTGGATTTCTGTTAGAACCAAATATAATAATATTGGCCAAATATAAATTGTGCTCATTATTTGAGATTCAATTATCCCACCAATACTGCGAAACTACAGTAACTGTTGTAATACTGACATGCATTGAAGACAAGCAATGATAGGAAGTGTTTCTTATCATATATGTGGGTGGTGCTACTTTCAGAATCTCATTTCAAACAACATCCATAAATTTAAAAAAAAAATTGAGTTATTTCACAGCAATTCAAAATGAATTAATTTCAACTTATTTTAATCATGCCTAGAATTACTTTGATATTCCACTATCCTTGATACTACTGATTACTCTCTGCTATCGATGACATTCAAGGTCACCAACATTATTTCTCTATCTATTGCTATAAAGAGATGCTAATAGATAATTGAATGTTATATGTTAGTGAATCTCCATTGTACCAAGTGCGGTACACTGAAGTACTTTGACCTTAGCATTTATGTCATCTATTAGTAAGTTCCTTCTTATTAAAAATACTCTTCATGAATGAGGTCGAAGAGCTTTTACATTGTTATACGTTGTTCACGCTCACGTTTCTCTTCTCAGTTAAATGACACACAACATTCTGTAAAGGATCACAATACAAAAATAACCCAAAACATTAACTCTTACTTTATTCAATTTAATTGAACGCGTCTTTAACTTAAAATCCTCAGTGATCTTCAATTGTCAACTGTTTCCGTTAGTTGTCATTACTTTTTCAGCTGATATTCACCATTACATTTCACGCCTCTCCTAATATTCCAATTAATTTAGATTTCTTACAAATCCAAACAATAGCATTTCCGAAGTGAAAAAATATTCAAAATTTGTTCCATTCTGTTTATGTGTGTCGAAATAATCAGAGTACGAAAATAAGAGAACACAATTCGCTGATAGCAATCATTGGGACATTATCATACAACTGAAAATTACTTCTTCAAAAATACAAAAAAGATCGGAACTATATCTAAAAAAACTACAGATTTTCTTACTCATTGCTAATAAGGATCACAAAGATCACGGCTTAATTCTGATATGCCATTAAAAAATAGATTTATTCATATCACTTGAATATTACAACCAGCAATTTTATGGACATGATCTTTCATTTTTCATTCAAAATCTTCATTTCAAAGTTGTCATTTCCAATGGTATTCAGTGGTGTCATCTCCAATTTTCCCATAGTATGCTCCATTTAACCTATGACATCTTCAATTTTATCAATGCTGTGTATCTCATTTCACCATCGATGTTCTCTTTCCCATATATATTCTAATTCGTCAACTGTTTCCTCATTATTATTGTCTATAAAGTGGTAACTTCGACCCTTTCTCTTTCTGATAATTCTTAAGTATTCGATCCATCTCACAGAAAATCAATTCTGCTGAAGTATTCATATCATTCATCAAATCCAATATTTCATAAAGAACTTTTCAATTTCAACAATAACTTTTCTTCCATACCTTAATAGATTTTATAATAAATTATTCCTACTGCAGTATTCATATCACTCATCAAATCTAATTATTTTAATTTATCTTCACTATCACAACAATGACAGATGCCGTCACGGTGAATAAAGCGGCTAAATGATTTCTTTCCTTCCGCTAATGTAACTGCAAAGCTGATGGAATGCCCCGATCCCAATGATTTCAAGAAGAAATCAATGCATTCATTCCGAAATAATACCCAAAACAACCTTCGTTAAAACAGCGTGCAGCGAATTTTAATATGAAAAAAATGGATATAACGAAATAATTTTACTGATTAATTCTAATTATTTATTATTTACCGAAGCATTGTATTTTGTGGTCCACTTTCTGATCATATCGTATAGCTGAGTTCTTGACCATTCCGGCTTTTGAAATAGACTGCAGTATTCTTCTCGTGCTTCTGCCGATTCTGGCATAAATAAAGAAAAATCAGTTTCTAACCAAAGGTCACAATTCGATCTCAAGTCGAATATGTCATTGTGGACAATATCAACAACAGCAATTTTGTGCCGCACTTCCCTTTCATTTTTATTTCCATTCATTTATCAAATCAACAAGGAAGAGTTTGATACTACTTGCAATAGAATTAATTCATTTCAGATTACGGATACTAATCGATTCTGTGAATGGAGAAATTAATGCTGAAAAAAATTTTATGTTTTCCTAAAATGTTAAAGTCAATAACGGATTTGATGAAAATTTAAATTCAATAATAAAATATCTGAGCATTGAACTTCAGATGTCATGCATTAGAATAAGTGATCTGATAAACGCATCTGCTGTAATCAGAAGCATAAAGACACGTGAAACTGATTCTGTGAGTTTCAACTTAACTAGCTACCGGAAGTTTTAAACGGAAGATTTATGGATATTTGAATAATAAAACTTTGCATGTTTGAATAAATCCCTTAACGACAGTTTGAAAAAAGCATATTCTTTTTCATTAATCATCTACCAACTAATTTGCTGAGAATGGTGAGCATGATGATAAATATTTCAAAATTGGGTAAGCCGGCACTTTAATTTGTTGAACCACAAAATTTTCTACTATCTTTTATCACTGCAAGCATTTATATAATAGAAAAGTAATAAAAAAGACAGATTTGAAAGAAAAAAATTTTTTTGAAAGATACCAAAAGCATTTTCTATTCATTCAACAACCAAAAATTTCAAATTTTCCAAAAAAAGCCATTTTAGACGTAATTTATGGATTTATATTACAACAAAATATTCCATTCCAAGTTTCTAACATCCCGAAAAGATTTAAATAAGTTTTTATGTTGTAGCATTTTCTCGTCGTAAATAAGTTGAATAAAAATGTAACTTTTTTAGCCTCTTTTATTTTCTGCGACTATCTTTTATCCATAATAATACTGAATTAATTATAGCAAATTTAGCCTAAAAAACATTTATCACGCCGTTTAGATATTTTGAATCAAATTTATCTGTTGCATTGCCATTGTTTTTCTTTTCAAAAACATTTCAAATGAATAAAAAAGTGAGCGGCAGAGGAATATTTCATTGTCTTATAATTAATACTAATTGATTGTAAATGATCTGCAGTATGATTATAACAGTTAATGGAAGAAAATTACGGTATGCATTTCCATGTATCGCAATGTGAAGCTGAAAATTGATCAGCCTTAAAGGATATTGAGAGAATGAACAATGACTGATAAATAATGATTGTACCATTCATGTACTGGTGATCTCTCTCTGATCTTCTGCAAAATAAAACAAAATGCTCTATGAATGGAACAGAGTAGTGGAGCCCAAAGAATGTTTCACATTTGAAAAAATAAATAATTTAATGAAGTGAACTAGCACATTTACATATGAATAGAATATTCATTCAATATTATTAAATGAGCAAAGTTTAAAAATCCCTTGATATTTGTTGAGATTAAAGATCTCGAAGAAAGTCAGAAAGAGTAATCAATAAATAATAAACTATTAAAGATGAGTTTGTGAAAAATTATGAAAGGATATATGACATAATATTTTATTTCTTCATCACCTGTGCATAATTCCTGCTATTGGGAGGAATATGAGAAAATAGGACATAAAATATTGGGAGAAGTTTTAGGTAAAACAAATCATAATAATGAAAGTTTCTTATTTTTTCTTTAGAATTCGATTATAATTTTTTATCTTCGATGGAATGTTTTTCATATATTTTTCCTGATGAATTGCAGTTATACTAAAAGAGATTTGGTGAGAACTAATTAATTTGTTTAAGTCATCTGTAACTTTCACAGTGATTAGTTTAAATAAAAACGGAAGATCAGAACTTTTTGAATGATACAGTTTTTAAAAATGGCTGGAGATCTTAGATTGATTGTATTTCAGAACTTCAATAAAAAATTCAAATTTCTATTCCGACTATCTTTAACTAATCAAATTTGCATTCGTGCAATGACACAATGAGAGGGCGGCATACGGTAGGGAAATGAATCAAACTGAAAGGATGGAAATTTTTATTGTTATATTTTTCAGTTACAAATCAATTTAGTGAAAAAAGAATCAAAACTTGCAAAATGTCATAAAATTGGTACAAATTAATTTTCGGATTTCACTCACTTAATTATTAAATTAAGGATGGCTTTTGTAGATTGTGAAATTAAAACAAAGAGGATTTTGACAAAGAATTTCGAGTGAGTAAATTATCATTCAGCGTTAACTTCTTGCTCAACTTTTCAAAGCTCAAAATATCATAATTACAACTTTTCGAGGATTTCCATTTTCATGCGATGTACATTTTTTACTAATAATTTTTTGTTAAAATTTATGTGAAAGAAAAAAGAACGAAAGGACTATTCCATCTATTCAATTTTCCATTTAAAAAAAAATAAAAATCAAAAATTTCCTATTTTTCACTTAGAAAATTTAATGGATTACATAAGGAAATTTTATCGTAATGCAGAATTTCAATTATAAATGAAAACATGACATCCTATGCAAAATTCAATTTTTATGCAGAAATTTAAATAAATATTCCACGAATTCACTAAATCTTTTGATCTATTTTGATCTTTGGATGAAATCGAAATAGCCAAAGAAGAGAATTGCGGTCATTCGGATTGATCTTCTTAGCAAGATCGTTTGCCACTGAGGAAATTCCTTCCCTCCACTCGGTAACTAATTTGCAAGCGAAGGCTAAACTTGGAGATTTTCAGAAATCTTGACCAAGATTTTCAGAAAAATTTTTTCTTTTTTTTATTAATTAGTTAAGTTGTCTTGTCAAGGTATCGTTGTTTGAGCGAGTTTGTAAATTGTATAAATTGCAAACAAACTTTCAAATGATTTTACTAATTTGCGTTATTAATTGATGGAATAAAGAGTCGCAGATGCATTGAAATGAGAAAATGAAATATTTTGAATAAGAATTCCGAAATCAAATCACTTTCTCACGGACTAAATAACAACACA